GTATGTTTGGTTATAAGGGGAACCATGGAACCGGCACCAGTCGGTTACGGTGACTGCGTCATAAACACGTGAGCATTCACGTGGGTCATACATCCCGGGAACGAGAAGTGGAAGGGATGGTCTTAACATCAACGAGGTAAGAGAACGAGTGATGGTTGGTGGGATGACGGTACGTCAGGGCTCCACCTAGGCTTGTCGCGTGCATGGCCACGCCACATGTGACCCGAGGGGGAACAATACTGGGAGTATAAGAACAGCACGTTCGCACTTTTCCCGAGTTCGAGAAACTCTTTCTTTTTCATGCAACCGGATGGGTTGGATTTATCTTTGCTTCTAGCAAACACACAAACGACACTTGGATTCGAGACAAGAACCTTGATCGCATTACACCGCGGCGAGTTGACGAGCCTCTTCTGTTTCGTGGAGGAATTGGCGAGAGCCTTTCTCACCCTTGTGGCTACAAACGTGGTTTTGTGTGTCCGGGACGACTTTCAATCAAGCGATTGACCCCAGCGAGAGCGGTTGGGATCTTGAGATCAACTTGTCGAGAGACAGTTTCTTCATCATGTTGGCATGTGCGACAGAGGAGTCCGCCAGGCGAGTGCCTCCATCACAGGCGTTGGACAGTCCAGAGATGTCCTTGGGTTCCGATCATGGGTGCGATCGGTGTTGTTGCCACACGGAGTGCGAGGCTCTTCGAGGAAAACGCTGGTGTCAGCGCTTTGCTCAGATCACGTGTGAGACGTCAGCGCCTGTGGGGGCGGAAGAGCTCATCAAACGGTTTGGACGTTTTTCTTATCCCGCTGTGAAGCGGTGCATGGTTGTCCAGAGGGACACTGGTGGGTTGGCCACCATCACCACCACCACCCATTCTGCTGTTGTCGAGTGGGACCGAGACGGGCCTTCGCCTGAGCCTGAGTTGGAGACTCGGTTGAACGAGCGGGCGCGAGACGAACTTTTCACGGCCGCAGATGGCTGTATCTCCGTGCAGAGTTGGATGCTTTCTTGCTGCGGTTATGGAGCAGACAGTGGAATTGGCGTGTGGAGTGGCGACATGAAGCTGGGCCTCGTTGCGGGAGACCGCGACCTCTTGGACGATCTCAAGCGAGAGTTCGCCGTCGTGAGACCGGTTTTGGGTCAGTGAAGCGCCCATGGTAGTAAGTGAAGGTCACGCAAGATAGTAAGCTTTTGTTGCCTGGCTACCACTCCTAAGAGCACCCCCGGAGGGAGAGTCAAGACTATGGAAAGCCACCGGCAGGGTTGCACGAGCCGAAGCCCGCAAGGGCGGAGGGCGAAGTGTTCAAGTCGTATGTAGACTGCGCGGAGTGGGACGGAGCTGGAGATGTGAGATACTTGTAATACACGTAGTGCTGTGATACCAATGAACTTCCAACAATGTGATTGTGCTTCCATCCAGTGACTGGTTATGTGCTCCGAGTAATACGATAAGAATGATTCCCCCGGAGGGAGAGCCAAGACTACGGAAAGCCACCGGCAGGGTTGCAACACGAGGGAGCGAGAGCGACCGTAGTGTTGTTCAGAGGGAAGGGAGCGCGAGCGACCGTCACACACCTGCGAGAGAGCTGACCGAGCGAGCGTGAGCGAGCAAGGGAACAACATGAACAAAGTGAAATGATACCAAAATTGTATTTTGTAAAAGCCCAGGAACGAGCGCGGAGTGCGAGTGGACTGTGACAGAGTGAAGCGCCGGGCAGGCGCGAAACGACAGTGACCAGTTCCCCTTCCGAAACCGTGCCGAGCGTGGCGAGGTGCGGGTGAGGTCCGTATGTTTGGTTATAAGGGGAACCATGGAACC